GCATGTGTGCATGCACATGCACTTGAGTGCAAGTGCTCCTCAAGGCTAGAGATATGAGATCCCTCTGGAGCTGGGTTACACTCACCCAAGGCAGGTGCTTGGAACAGAATTCAGGTCCTCTGCAAGAGCATATTAGCTCTTTTGTTGTTAAGCATTACAGTCTTTCTGCCAGTTTATTCTTATTTAATTTTCACTCTAATATATTGTTCACTCATATATATTATATAGACGCTTTTTAAATTTTGTTTTGTGCTTTTATTACTTTTTTTTACTGTAATCTGCTTATATTTTATCTTGTTGATTATTCTGATATAACTAAGTCTTTAATAAGTCTTAAAACTTAACTGATCAATTACTTAATGTTTCTCTAAACATTTTATTTAGACAAATAAAAGCACCAGGAGGTGGTGGTCCAGGCCTTTAGTCCCAGTTCCAGGACAGCCAGGACTACAAAGAGAAACCCTGTCTTTAAAAAAAAAAATCATACAAAGTTATCCTATTTTTTCTAGAAAAAAAAAAAAAACAAACCTAAACTTGCTTAAGGTCATGAGTTCTTGAGTCCAAAGCCAGCCAGATAAGAGCTGAGTGAACCCCAGAGAACTGAGGTCACATGTTTTTTAGTATGCCATCTTATTTCTATCTCTGATTATCCTTCAACTCACCAGCTCTGAGTTCAATGAACATTTCCTCCCTTTTAATAAAATGGGGATTTAATTTGTACCCTGCTTCATAAGGCTTTAGTAAAAGAACACTTCGAGTTGGTTAGCCACTGCACTGACCTGCAGAGAACGCCTGCTCAGGCTCTCTAAACAGGTAAAGACTCAAAGTCTGGCCTTTCTTCACTAGTTAGGAATATAAATTAAGGCCTTTGTGAACACTAATGAGACTGAGAGATGGCAGAGTAAATTATACAGAATTAGACATTCTTGTATGTGCATATGTGTGCATGAGCACATATATACATATGCATGTGAAGGTCAGAGCTCAACCTCAGGTGACTTTCTCAGTTGCTGTCCACCTTTTCTTTCCTTTTGCAGTGAGATTTTCATAAAACACTCTGGAGAGATTGACCATATCTCTCCTGTTTGTACTCAGAACAAAAGATCACTTAGTACATTTTACTCATTTTTTTCTGTTAAAGTTACTTCAGAGGCTACCTGAAAACAAAATTAGGACTGATTCTTGGCAAAGCAAAGTATTTTTAAAAAAAAAGTTTCCTGGCAGTTTTCTTAATATGTAATGTCCAAAGGGCAACCTCAGGTATCCACATCCTTTCAAACAAGGTCTGTCAGCCTGAAGCTCACTAACTGGGCTAGACTAGCTGACCATCAAGCCCCTGAGATCTGTCTGTCATCATCTCCTCTGAAGTGGGACTATAAGAGCACACCACTGCATCTGGCATTCTTATACAAATTATGAGAACTGAACTCAAGTCTTCATGCAAGCACTTTACTGACTGGGTTTTCTTTCCTTTTAGGAGAATTTTTTGTTGTTGTTATGGTTTGGTTTGGTTTGGTTTGGTTTGGTTTTGTCAGACAAGGTTTCTCTGTATAGCTTTGGCTGTCCTGGAATTCACTCTGTAGACCAGGCTGGCCTCAAACTCACAGAAATTCATCTTCCTCTGCCTCCGAAATGCTGGGATAAAGGTGTGCACTACCACTGCCCAGTCCTAAGAGCTTTTACAAGTGTATTGTGCAACCATAGTTTGTAGTCAATTCTTGCACTGTTCTTTGCAAGGAACCTAGCTAGTAGGCAGCACTTTCACTGAGTGAGAAAAGGGTATTACAGAATTTAATGCATGCAAAGGACTGTAGATTCTGAATCTTCCTAACAGTCCTGTTTTGTATTTTGTGTGATTGAAGGCCATGCAAAACAAGCCATAGCAGTACTTGAAGGTGTTCAGAATGTTTTGATTCTTCTATCAACCAGTTGGTATTCAACATTGGATCTTCACAGGACTCAGCTGAAAGGGGGTTCACTTAGGCACTAGTCAGGGGAATGGAAAGTTCTGTTATGCTGTAACAGGTAGCCAGTAAGTCAGTTAGGGCTGAAGGCTCTTCTGAAACCTATGGGGCAGAATGAGAAAAGGGAGCACAGACGCTAGTCCTGGGTCTGGGATCAGCCTCCATCTCCTTAGTTTTATCCAAAATACAAGAGTTGTACAGGAATCTTGAAAAAGCTATTTCTCTAACTTTTAAGACAGAGTATTCTAAGTCCCTTCCTACATGCTTATAAATATAATCTCCCTACAGCTCTATTTGACCAAAATTTATAGCACATTTAAAACCCCAGATAAGCAAACATCTCTTCATGTTTTCTATGCCCGGGCCTGAGATGGAAAGAAACAATGAATAAGAGATCCCTAGCGGTACTTTCTCCAGAAAACAATCAGAGAAGACAATCCTAAGGGTTCTAGGAAGTCTGCAAATTCCTTTATTGTTCTTTTTCAGTAATATAAAATTTATTTGCAAACACATCTGAATCACCTCAATCAGGAATTTCATTTAAAAAACTTAATCAGAGTTTTAAACTAGTTATTCAATTTGCAAGCAAATGCCCTCTACTTCAGACATTGATTCCAATGCAACTTTCTTAATCATCTTGACTCAAAATTGAAGTAAAGTATGTCAACTAGACCAGCACCTCAAGAATGGCAAAGACTTACTGGCTCATTTCCTTTCCCTGTCAGCCTTGCCAAAGCCAAGCTAGATAACTTGAAGGGAAGAAAGAAGCCTGGCTTTAGAGTTTATCTCCATAACCCAGTATATTCATGGTTGTTTTGTTGTTGTTGCTGCTGCTGCTGCTGCTGCTGCTGTTGTTGTTTTTAAGGGGGCTCTGTCTAGGACAGAAAACAAGTAACATCTGGTCAAAGGATCCCAACAGAATGAACCTTATAAAAATGAAAAAGATGGTCTTGGTTGCCAGTGCCAGTTCTGAACTTCTCACAGGCAAAGGAGGCCAGCAGGATTGAAATAGCTGGCCTACAGGTAGAGCTGGGACCCAGTCACGAGTCCACATTCACATGTGGTGGGGTTCCACTGACCATGCTTCATCACCCAAACCAGCTGCGGGGTGCACAGCCTGACTGGCAGAAGTGAGAAATTGCAGCCTTCCTGCCACAAATCCTGGGGCACTCCCTAAAGATAAGAGGGCAACTGGAAAGCCATTTTGTTTTTGTTTTTCCAGTTTCTCCCATTTGAACTACCAAGGAGACACTGACCTCTGACCTCAGGAAGTGTTAGGCAGAGTTAATTATGTTCTTTAGTGCTGGGTGAATTTTTATTTTATCTTTTTTAAATTTTTTTGAGTGGAGCCAGGACCTCATATAGTTGAGGACAGCCTTAAACTCCTACTTCACAAACTTCAGTCTCCCAAATGTTGTAAGGACAGGTGCCCACTACCCAGCTCAGAAGTGGTCGTAACATTTTGTCAGCATGTGGTCTCCCTCAGCCCGGCTACCCCAGGAGCCAGCATGCAGATGCACATGGGGCCAGAGTGCTGATTTCAGGTGCATCTAGTCTCTGATTACCTTGCTTTGCAACTATACTGATTAGTTGCAATCAAGAGTGGAAATTAGCCACTGCATTACACCAACAGTCTCCAATACGAAGGGCTAATTCCTCCTTGATCTGTGATTTAGTGAAAACTATCTGTGAGGTATGTTTTGTCTGTGGAAAACAGGTGGAGAGAAATAATGAAGAAAAAAAGTCAAAAGCAGTGTACCTTATATTGGTTTCTTCAAACCGAACGAATGTGCTGAGAAGTGGGCAGGAGAGATACCTCTGAAACAAGCTCAGTAACCTCTCTCTCTCTCTCTCTCTCTCTCTCTCTCTCTCTCTCTCTCTCT